AACTGAAGTGAGACCTGTACTCTCTGTATCACATATCACCAGTTGAGATGACTGGGCCCATGTGTAACTGTACGAAGGCGGACAAGCGAGGGCAGGAAGACAAATATGCCCCCTAGCCATCTAATCAGAAAGGAAAGCTGTTGATAATGAGAAAATCAAATTTGCTCAGTGAATCACACTACTCGCAGAGATCCAACGCTCAAGAAGGATAAAATGAAATCATATTCCTCAAACCCCTCCCGCATGCGAGATCGTTTACGGGCATAAAGGAAAGTAAAGATGCTAGGTGCAGCCTTTAATCATGGCGGATTTACAAATGATTTGATAAATTTATAGTAGACTATTTTATCGTTACTTTCTTAGAAGTGTGCCTTGTGGAGAAATATGAGAAATGATAATGTGTTAAAGCATCTACAGTTACGTTTCACTAACTGGTATGGGGACAACATTTTTGCCATGATCTAGATAATTTTGTTTGATGGTTACTCATCCATTAGAAATGATCTTCCCTTGCCTTCCCCACCTTGGAAAGTGAGATACATTTAGGAAGAAAGATAAGGGTTATCCTCTTTGGTCAAACATAAGTGTCTTGGACTTAGTTTTGAAAATTGAAACATTTTGAAACTATAAGGCCCACATACCAGATACCTTCATAGCAGCAATCCCTTTTGAAACTGATTATTTATAATGCAATAATAAATAAGGGTTATTACATGTAGGTTTGTCTAAATGAGGAGGATGCTTGAGAGAGTGGAGAGAGGGAGTGTCATCATGGCGCGAAAGTCAGTAACCCTTCGTAAAAGGAAAAATGCTGATTTTAATGAAGGATCACAATGGCAATGTCTACACGTACATATGAACAAAAAGGTGTTTTTTCCACTGATTTGTTGAAAAGCTATAATGTGATGTAAAGCGCGGTTCTTCAATTTATTCTGTTCAATAGAAAAATTTTGGGTACTACAAAATCATATAATACATGTAGCAATACAGACACACAATTAATTTCCTCTTGCTCTGAATATAGTAAATTGCAATGATGAGCAGAAAGTCAAAATCAGAAAATGGAAACGGGAGCTAAAGGGAATCAGACAAATTCTTTGTTTTTTTATGAAATTCATCCTATATGTATATATTTCATTTTTTATCATGTTTGTCACTTCAGTTCCACTTATCTGTCCTACTTTGTATATCAGCAATATTAGAGCAGAAGATTTGTCATGAAAGCCTGACATATATTTTATATTTAATTCCATCGTTGGGTAAACAAACAAAATTGCAGCTCATGCATAGAAGTTTATTCTATGATATTACTTTAGATCAAGATATAATCCATTTCTCTGATTGATCTGAAAACAAAATCACAATTTCGATATTAATTCAATTGAAAATTAATTTTGATGGAGACTGGGAAATAAAGATCATAAGTGGGTTCAGCATGGTACCCCATGAGGGTTGATGCAGCATCCAGAATAAATTGATAAATGCTCTTTTTTTTATTTCATCTACTTCTCTCATTTTTCGTGAGATTCCATCTTTGATTAAGAATGATATGATTGAGAAGAAGTCATTTTGGGGGGCAGAGTAAATAAGAAGGCAATTTATGAAATGAATTCTGTGTCAGCAGCCAGCCAACTCGGTGACAGCCAAACTCTTTCCAATTTGATTCCCCTGATCAATACTCCAACTCTCAACGGCACGCTGTTATTCTTGCAATTCCACGCGATCGCTCTCATTGACGGAAGGAAGGCAGCTGGAACGAACGTGGCTGCCTAGCTGTATCCAGGTTGACTACCCTGCATGAGACTTATGAATTAATTAATGAATTCTCAAACCAATTTGATAGGGTAGGGTGATGTATAGGCATGAATCTGAAATACCTGACATCACTTTCAAAATCATGGCTCACCTTTATTATTCTTTTTTACAAATCAGGAAAAATACCCATCCCTTCCCTTGGGCAAGGGTAGAGAGCAAAAGTTGTGTTTGGTCATTAATTGCCATTCGATGTAGCTCTTTTTTTTGGGGGGGGGGGGGGGGGGGGGGGGGGGTCCTATTGAATGAAAAGAAGAAAAGTCTGGGTCATTTATTGATGATGGATATGTTCATTGACTCCATGCAACAGATGATTTTGTAGCTTGATTGCACAGAAAGCTGATGATGGAAAATGGTAGATAGTGAGAGGGAGAGAGAAAGGGATAGAGAGAGGGACAGGGACAGATAGACAGAGACAGATAGACAGAGACAGATCGACAGAGACAGAGAGAGAGATGAGGAACAGAGGGAAAAATTTTGCTGTCACATGAATACTTCAGTGATTTTCCTAGAATTGGGAATTGTAATCTCAAGGCAGATGAATGGATTTGTATGCTATAACATACTTCAACATTTTCTGGTAGTGATGAATAGAGTTATCATTAGCCTGATGGATATTTTCTAATCAATTTGTTCAGTTCAGTAAAATAAGTTAACAAAGAAACAAACAAACACAGAGATACATGCACTTTATGTGTTTGTGTATTTGAGAATGTGGAGAGTGAAAGTGTGGCATATGGAGATGAAAGGCAGGAATATCAAACTCATTGAATATAAATTCTACAAGCCGGAGATGGATAGATTGTAGAGAAGATTGTATACAAGATTGTAGGGCAACCAACAACAAAAAAAAAAAAAAAAAAAATCATCAACAGTTTATTATAGAAATTACTCAGGATTCAAATCAAATAAGTATTCTGATAGAGAGCTTACAAGCTTACAATAGGTCATGGTCGAGTATGCAAGTTGAAATGGATTTAATAAAGGATATAAAGATTTTGCTATCTCATTTATTAAAAAGACACTCTGTCTATTAAGTATTGATTCAGCCCCCACCATGGGGCACACTCTTAGTACAATTGGCACCAGAAATGCTATCAAATAACTTTTAGGAAAGTATAAAGTTGAAGAGAATCACAGAAAAGAAGGACAAATTAGGAAAGAAGAAATGTAGATACACTATCTTAGGTAGTTACAGTAGGTTTCTGCACAGAAATATTCTGTGTCTTATTATTCATGTTGTATGATTCATACTTTCTCTGTTAAGGGTCCCCATAAAGAAAAAAAATTGTCCGTCCCCATGCCCTCAATAATGCTGGGGTCCCTGATGAAATAAGAATAATTTTAAATCAAACAAATTTCAAGCAGCTGCCAAATAGAGAGAAGAATTACATGATCGAAAAGAATTCAACAAAAACAAAGTCATATGCTTCAATTTGTTTGAGACTTCCACTCTCAGTCAGAGAATAATGGATTGGGTAATGAAACTTGATTTTTTTTCCCAAAGTCATGCTTTCTGAAATCACATAAAAGCAGTCAAGATCTCAGTCAAGTTTAAAGAAAAAGTTGAGTTCTGGTCATGCGATTGCATTGTGAAAGAAACGGTGTGGAATAGATCAGAAAAGGTTGATCATCTAGCATATAAGTATTGGTGTGTACTGCAAGGTTCTGGAATCATCTAAATGATGATGAAATTTGGCCCAGTCTTGGTAAAGTTATAAGCGCTGTACACAAAAATATGTATATGGGACTACACGAACATGTGGCATAAAAATCCGGCCCAATTTTGAACGCTACATGGCATATTTAGAATATTAAGGCATTTGAAGAGCCATGCTTTACAGGGAACATTTTTTATCTGAAGTTCTTCCACACTTGCATAATAACAATAATAACGCTCACAAATTATTTTTCACCTCTTCTCAGATCTCTACCTTTTCTGTAAGTGACGTTAGAGCTCTTCAGCTTTAAATACACCGAATGATATGTCATTAGATCTTGGAAGTGGGAAAAAACAGCATCTATGAATAGATTCATTACTTAAATAAGTAGTCGACTCTAAAATCACCAAGAATATACCATGTTTGTGTAATACCTACATGTACATGTGGTGACATATTAAATACTCCCCCTTATCTTTCTCTGGGAGAAATCATTGAACATGGAACTTTTTAATATCAGTATGTCACAGTACAAGATGTATTTCTTGATTTACAAGCAGATAAAACTCAAGTTTGTCAATTTAAAACCATCATAAAATCTCTCATGAGCTCATATCTGACAGAAACTCATTGCAATACAAGCATAGGATGAAGTAGGTAGAAATACAGATGTCGTAAATGCTACAATGTTTTTAACATCTTCAAATGAGAGATTACAAAAAACAAACTATTTATTAAAAAAATATAATTGTCACAACATCCATCATCCACCCAATGTTAGATTGATTATTGAATAAATAATATAAAAATGTGTACAAGCCTACAAAATCTGCCAAATGAATTTGATAGAAATATAAAACATGAGGGATGAGTACAGCTGGTCTATTTGAACTTGATGTATTAGATTGTCATATATATATATGAAATTGTTATTTTCTAATGTGAAGTTGTAATGCCTCGGGTTATATCAGTGCTATAATATGATTTTAATCAACTACATGATCGATGAAGAGTTGAGATGAATTGCTCATGATTCTTCTTCTCCTCATTCTTCTTCTTCTTCTTCTTCTTCTTGTTCTCCTCCTCCTACTCCTCCTTCTTCTTTGTTTTCTTGTTCTTGTTCTTTTCCTCCTCCTTCCTTTTCTTCTGCTTGTACTTCTTCTTCTTCTCCTCCTCCTCCTTCTTCTTCTTTGTTTTCTTGTTCTTCTTGTTCTTGTTCTTCCCTTTCTCCTTCTCTTTCTCCTTCTCTTTCTCTTTCTCTTTCTCTTTCTCTTTCTCATTCTCTTTCTCTTTCTCTTTCTCTTTCTCTTTCTCTTTCTCTTTCTCTTCCCTTTTTCTTCTCTTTCTCCTTCTCCTTCTATTTCTCCTTCTCCTCTTTCTCCCTCTCCTTCTCGTCCTCCTCGTCATCCCTCTCCTCTTTCTTCTCTACTCAGAACTTAATATGACTATTTATAGTGAAAACATGTGCTCATATTAAAACCAATTTTATAATGTGAATATTTTTCTCATTTTGTTTGTATCTTACAGAGACCTGTCAAACAACATGCTTGGTAGTGTGAATAACACCATGTTCATTGGACTATCATCACTGGAAGAACTGTAAGTAAACCCATTCCATCCTAGCCCCATTCACACCAAGGCTGTAAACTGCTCCAATAAGTTACCTCGCAGTGAGCCTTTTTGATTGGCCTTTTTTGGATTTTCCTTACAGGGACTGCCATACCTGCCAACCCTCCCGAATAATCCGGAATATCCTGTTTTTCTGGATTTTTAGGACCCCAAAATGCGGGAGATCCCGGATTTTCAAAATTTCGTGTTTTTTTTTTGTTGCTTAAGCCAAATTAAGCCTGTTTTATCATATGCCGCAATGTGAGAGTTCACGTATTGCGTGCGTTGAAGGGCTGCATGATTGAGCAGCGAATTTGTATTTGCTTTTTTGCACAGATTTACCGCGTATTGCCAGTTACACTGCCGCTGCATGTGCGAACGCCTGTTGAGGGTACAGATTTCTTATTTTCGAAGACATACCGTGCTAAAAATTCTTAATTCTCATTTTCAAATGTTGACAGGTATGGACTGCTGGTATGACCAGCTATCCACATTTATCTCTTGATAACCTAAAGTGGCTATTGTTAGCAATTTCACAATATTACCAAAAAAGTTGATGGTAACAATCCCTTCTTAATAAAGAGTGCTGTCTCAATTTGTTTATAAATCTTGTGAAGAATAAAATTCATTGTTTTATATTTACATATTAATTCCTTAATTACATTGTTTATATGTTTTGATAACACTTCTATACATTTATTTGGTAAATTATTTCTACTACTGTCTGATTGTTATGTAATGCTTTGTGTTTGTATTTGTATTTGAAATCCAACCTTATTGTTGCAAAAAATAAAAAATAAGACATATTTCTTGCTAATTACTTTTCTTCTATACCCCTAACTTAAGGGAGTTTCTACCATGTTTTAAGTGTAATTCTAAAAACGAGTATTGTTTTTAAAATTGTTGTGCAGTCAGCTTATGATTCTTAATGTGTTTTCCCTTCCAGGATTTTTTCTCACAACCAGATATCAACCATCTCACAAGCGACCTTTGACAGGCTCACCATGCTCAGGAGACTGTAAGTTTTAAAAAAATCTTCTTTCCATTTTTTTGTAAAATATAAAATGAATGAATTCCCATAAAATCTAATAACCATGTGTTGAAGATGCTCTTCTTTGTAGCTATGATATCCTTTAAATTCCTCACTTTTTGTGATAGGTGTTCATTGCATTTCCAAATATCCCAAATTCTCTTTTGAAAATTGTAAATAAATATCTTTTTTCAAATTCGTCATCCTATCCTATCCTAATCATACAAAGAGCAATATCTATCTAAGCATTGACGAATATATAAATAATTTCTGGTTATTCATCTCAGTTTTATACTTGGATGAATAACCAGAAATTTGATATCCATGTATTAAAGATACTCTTCTCTGTTCCTATGATTTAAGTTCAACCCGACTGTGGTTGTTCAAACAAATCTGTTGTCTTTTATCATCTTCCTATCATAATTAGACAAATGAGAAACAAATTCTCTGGAGGCATTATTAAATGGGAAGGGTATGAAGCTGGGGTGAATAACCATTATTTTGATATCCATCCATTGAAGATGCTCTCCTTTTTCTGTAACTTTAGGCCTGTCCTCATCAGCTCGAGATTGCCAAATATCCCGCTATTTCAACTATCCCAATCCCAAATTATCCAGTTAGTTTGCATCTTCATCAGCCCGAAGTTGCAATTAGCGGGATATTTTGTCGGGATAATCATCCCAAGATATCTTGGTATAGTTTGCAAAATATCCAACTATTTGGCAAAATATCCCGCTATTTGTCCGTTGCGTCTTGCACTATGCATGAAGGCTGAGCAAAATATCTTGAGCTAATTTCTCAAGGTCGAGTTTCAAGTTTTGAGGTCGAATCTCGAGCTGATAAAGATGTGATTTGTAACTTTGGGATTATTTCCCAAATCAGAAAGAGCGAGCTATTTGGCAATCTCGAGCTGATGAAGACACGCCTTTTGATTTCCTTCAAACTTGGTATTGTTGTGCTAGTCGTAACATCCCCAGATTCCCATGGGCAGATTCCTTTCCAGTGATGTTATGACCTTTATGAGACTAATTGCCCTCGTAAACCTCGGTACTCTGGCAAAAAAGTTTATTTTCATGCCATTTGTAATCAAAGCAATTATTTTGCCCTTCAGCTAAAGGAGTTAGTGTCTGTTCACACAATGATTTTCTGCAGCTGTTGCACAATGTTCACTTTTACGCTTTATCGAAATGTCATATTTGAGTTTTATGGTAACATAACATGTTGGCTTGTATTGATTATTTCTTACAAACATTTCAAGGCAAATGTCTACAATAATATAGCGTCAAATGTATGTAGGCCCGTAGTTCTAATTTTAATTACAATTGTATAGGATTAAGGGGTAGTAAAATCCATGTCAAAGTTATAGTTCAAGTGGATATGGCTCAGCATGTACAACCTTTGACCTTGCCCATTGTATGCAAGAGCATTTGATAAAAATATCACATTGAAATGTCGATTTCATGATTAATAACGATAATATTATTGGATACTTCTATAGTGCACCTATCCATGTGCAGTTAATTGAACAATTATTTATGAACTTTAAAGGTATACATAGAAATAAAATGAATATTAAAGCCCCACTGCACTACTTATAGCTACTTACGCCCTCTATATAGCAAATAATGCTTAAGCGGTGACCATTGGTCCCCCATACTCCCCTTTCTTCTCATGTTAATTGAGAGCTGATTTGATGAGATAACCACCTGTCAGTGACCATGCAGGGAGGTATAATCCCTCCTGGCCAAACTAGTTCAGATAGGCTTTAAAACTAAATTCTGATGAGTGACGTCATCTTTTATTTTCTTACAGTGAGTTTGCGTCAGAGTATCTGGTCTGCGACTGTAAGTTGGACTGGATCGTGAAGTGGAAGCGAAATCGAACTCCGAAGGTCAAGATCTCGGACAGTACGACCTGTGCAGTGCCAGAGTCTCTGGCAGGTAATCAGGTCAGCAGTCTGAAGAAAGCCCAGCTCAACTGTGGTAAGTCATTAATGTTATTAAGATAGGATTAGTATGATAGGCATAATGATGAAAAGAGCATCAGAGCAACATCAGCAATGCCAGTAACAACAACAGCAACAACACAGTAACAACAACAGCAACAATCACTTAAATCCTAAATTCCTCAACTGTCTTTTCTGCGTGCAGTGGTCAGACTTCACTCCTGCATGTGACAAGATTCAAAGTCCTACAGGACTGTTGATATATGTTGTCTTAATTTGTCTGAGTTCTTGTCTGTTGCAATGGTCAGACTCCCCATTCCAGATGTTGAGATTTAAAGTCCCAAAGGACTGGTGATATTTAAAAAATTTAATTACATTACTTTCCTTTTCTATTCCAATCGTCAAGCTCTCCTACAGATACCAAGGTTTAAAATCCTACAGGACAGTCCATGCATCGCTGTAGGCAGTCATGTGTCCTGATCAATAGTTCTTGAATCCTGTACTGTCTTTTCTCTTTCAATGGCCAGACTTTCCCCTGCAGATGTCACGCTTTGAGATCCGTCCCAGCAGCGACCAGGTGGTCTTCAAAGGAGACCTTGTAGACAGTCCTGTGTCCTGATCAATTCTCTTGATTCCTCTTCTGTCTTTTTCCCTTTCAACGGTCAGACTTTCCCCTGCAGATGTCACGCTTTGAGATCCGTCCCAGCAGAGACCAGGTGGTCTTCAAAGGAGACCCTGAAGACAGGCATGTGTCCTGATCAATAATCTTGAATCCTCTTCTGTCTTTTCTCTTCCAACGGTCAGACTTTTCCCTGCAGATGTCACACTTTGAGATCCGTCCCAGCAGCGACCAGGTGGTCTTCAAAGGAGACCCTATAGACAGTCATGTGTCCTGATCAATTCTCTTGATTCCTCTACTCTCTTTTCTCTTCCAACGGTCAGACTTTCCCCTGCAGATGTCACGCTTTGAGATCCGTCCCAGCAGCGACCAGGTGGTCTTCAAAGGAGACCCTATATCCCTGGAGTGCATCGCTACCTACCTGGATGAGACCCAGCAGATGGTGTGGCTCAGGAACAAGAAGATCCTTGAGAGCAACGCCTCTGCCGGGATCACCATCGAAACACACATCATGGAGGAAGAGGCACTCATGACCAGCACCCTAACCGTAAGTCATAGAGAAGAAAAAAAATCAAGATCGATAGATCTGGGGGTGTTTCACAAAACTCATCATCGGTGACAAATGACAGTTTTTTGTCGTAAGCTAGTGAAATTCTTGCTTCTGATTGGTTATCAGCAGATTTGTCACTGATTTTTATCACATTTTTATTGCTTTGATTGCAATACAGCTTGGGCAAGCGAAAGCTACATGTAAAACTAAAAATGGACTAAAAATGAAGCATGGGTCTTAGAGGAACAGGCACCAATGAGCAGTGCCCTGAGTTACAGTAATGAAAAAGTGCTTAGGTATCGATAGACGTTTAGCTCTTAAAAAAGCTGAAGAGACCCCAATAAGAGCTCCAAACAGATGTAGTGGAATTTTACACTCCAATCTACTTTTTGTCCGCCATACCTTGGGGCTTTGGTATTAAATTACAACTATTTTTTTGTGTAGCCATGTATTTTTTATTCAGTCTATGGAGTTATGAACTGTGCATCTTTTTTATTTTTTTAAAAGATTTTGGAGGGGTAAAAGTTTTCCAGTAGTGTATTTAAGAGTGAAATTGTAATTGTAATAGTACATGTATATGAATATTGCTATTTGCACAAGCTATTGAAAGCTTCACATGCCATGTTTGGGCAGAATTATAGTATAGTATTAATGACTGCTTTGAGAGAAATAGTTATTTTTATACGCTCAAGGGAAGGTTAGAATTGTGCTATTGCCCGAGGCGTGCCGAATTTGGAATTTGGATTTGGAATTTTACTGGGAATTTTACAGGAATAGTTAAAGTTTATGAATGCAATTTTGACCAATCAGATGGCTGGATTTCTTAAGTGAGGTATATAATAAATACGAATGGTGGATAACCATGTAGTGCCTGTGTCCTTTATGCTTTACTGTCATAACTGAGTGGCTAATTGTATAGTGCTGGGTAGACAGTGGCAAACATGGATTCACGTTTTGCCAGAAGACGTTAGAGTCAGGCGTGGATTTGAACCCTTAACTTTTTGATTGAAAGTCAAGTGAATGAATATCACAACACCTCCATAAGGTAGATCATAGATGGTATAATATTAAAGACTCGTCAACTTTCGCTTTAATAATCAGATTCAACAGATAACTCAAAGCACCGGTCTGTGGAAGATGGAGTGCCAGGTGATGACTGGTAGCGGGCGGGGCAATACCAATGTCATGATGGATCTGTATGTGTTTGGTAACATCAATCAGTCTCACAACTGCCAGGAAGAAGTCACTACTAACAATAAAGGTAAGATGATGATCGGAAGGAGGAAGACGAGGAATGGAGGATGAGGAGGAGGAAAATGATGAGGAGAATGAGGAGGAGAATGATGATGAGGAGTAGGAGGAGAATGATGTTGATGATAGGGGTGATGATGATTATGATGATGACGATGAGGATGTTGATGATGACGATGGTGATGAGGAGGAGTAAGAGGAGTAGGATGAGGATGTTGATAATAGTGGTATTTATGATGATGATGATGAAAATGATGATGGTGAAGATGACGATAATAATGATGATAGAGTGTCGGCCTGTCGGGTGATAACTGGTAGTGGGTCAAAAATAGGAATGTCATGATGGACCTTCTTTTTTTTTGTAACATCAATCAGTCTCACAACTACCAGGAAGAAGTCCCTACTAACAACAAATACATTTCTCTTCCATACTAGGCACCTTCCAGTGGCAGGCCACCATACCTGACATGACGGCAGAGGTACCCTGCCCGAATGGAGGGGGGCTCCACTTCAGTGGCGGGGATCCCAGCAGGGCCAAAGCAAGACGTACCTGTTTGGAGGGGGGCCGCTGGCAGACCCCTCAGACAGAGGCCTGTGACTATGCAGATGAGGCTACTCGCATGCTAGAGAAAATAGCCATGGTAAGAAAGAACATGTGGGAAATAAAGAATCATATAAAGATGTTTAAAGGTAATACAAAGTTTTGGTATGGGGTCATGAATTTCATTCAAATGAACATATTGGAAGCATATGCGATCCTACAATATTCAACGATCTTTGTCCCGGTTGAAATCGAGTCTAAAGTAATGAAATTATAAATAATAAAATCTTTATGCTGTATAGCTCACTCTCAACGTCAAGATATTAATTAAAGATAAACTTGAGTTCTGGTAAAAAAAGAAAATGAATTCTCACAGAATCTAACGAAACTTACACTGAATGTTCAAGGTTACAAATAAATGTCATGTGCCAAACAATTTTGGAAGAAAATGTATACTGGCTGAGTAATGAGCATAGAAAGATAAGGAAATCAGGGTAGTACTAGCCCCGACACCATGTGTGTTGTCCCATATACATCTATCTGTGTAAGTGATTGTTACTTTACCAAGACTCTGCCAAATTTATGATGATTTTGATGACTCTAGAACCTTGCATTACACACCATTACTTACATGCTATATGATCAACTTTTCTGATCCATTCCACACCTTTTCTTTCACAATGCAATCGCATAACCAGTACTCTTTATCTTTAATTAAAAACAAAAATAATGTATCTTGACTAAAATGGACCGATTGGCTATTTCCGTTAGGAAATTATATATCACAATTATATATCACAACTACATATTTTCATGGTCGCAGCTATTATTGTATGGCCGTAAGCGCTATTTGAAATTTATCAAAATATTCAATTTTACTCGAAAGCAGAAGTGTTTAAGGGGATTAATTTTCTAGTGCTTATAATACATCCACAGGGGCATCAAAATGTATCAAATTGTAAAGAATCACTATCCGGCCAATTTTCAAAATTTCCCAAAACTTTGTATTACCTTTAACAGTTTATATACTTAGTTTATTGTTTAGCCCTATTACTAACCTAGTTGAGACAAGTACCAAATTGTACAGGCATTTATGTTTCAGCAGAGGAGAATGACTTCACATAGAAGCAAGAGATGAAATATAGGTACTAATTCTAAATGCTGATACTCCAGCAAATTTGACCGGTATATTTGAATATGCATTGAGCTTCTCTTCTAGATCCCAGGTTAGTTTCATTCAGATATGTTTTGACAAATTCAGTCCTTTTCTGAATAAAACTGAATGTAATTGGGAAAAAAACTTTTGATTTAACAAAGATCAACCTTTTTACTGTATTAGAAGAAAAATTGTTACAATTACTCAGTTTTAACAACTTTAAGCAGACCTACATGTAGTAAACTTTGAATTTTTTATTTCATTTTTTCACACCATACAGTCATCGTATAGAAATGCCTCAGTGGCGCTAAAGGCAGCTAGGAGGGTGGAAGTTCAAACAGCGGATGCTCACACTTTTGCTGACAAGCTGAAAGTTGTCTTTGTGGCTAGATTCATTGAAAAGATTCACCAATTGACAACTAAAGATGTGAGTATCATTGTTCAAGTTTTGTTATCAATATAAACCCAATCTTCTACATGTAGTCCCATTCATTCACTTAAAATAATAGAGATTTCTTCTGACACCAACATGTTAACAGTTATATGACTGTACTAAGGATAAAATGATGATTAAGTCTGGTTTTAAAGTGACTCTAGCAATTCCATCAGTAGCTATAAACTCTTCCGTGAAGGGATATATGATTTTCAGTTTGATGTAACCATCAAGATCTGCTTCCCTGTCAGGATTACTCTCTATGTAGGTCTAAGCCACTCTCCACCCAGGTGAAGTAAATGGGTACCGGTAGGAAGGAATTCCTTGAATGCTGTGAGCACCGAGATCGGTAGCCTAGCAGAACCGGGGTAATATTGGAGCGCTTTGAGCACCTTGCAGGGTGGATATGTGCGCCATATAAATATCCAATATTATTATTATTAAGCCCCATCTAATATAAATAGTCTATCAATCGCAACTATCTCATCTAGGAGACTGCAAACTTGCATATGATTGGAGGACATGCAATTGATTTGGATCAATCACAACTCTTCATAAGACGGGGCCCTGTTTTGTCTTTGCCTTTGTGCATACATGTATTTATATGCGAAAAAATGTGAAATGTGAAATATTATCAGTAACTGCTTGGTTGAATGATAATGAGGTATTATTACCCGTATCAGACATCTGAGCTGGTCATTTACAAAACCGTATTGCCCTAGTTTTCACTAGCAGTGGGAACGGATGAGTATATTCTTTGTATTTTCCTTGGTCTCCCTGCTCGTATAGACTTTGCGTATACCTTTGTATTTTTCACGGTCTCGCATCCGGGCATGTTATATTGACCGCGCCGTATTTTGTCATTTTCATTGCGTATCTATTATGCGTACGAAAACCTGCGCACTTTGCGCGCACTATATTGTGACGTAATAATCACACCAAATACACACTGTTTGCAGTGTATCGAAAATTTCGTCAAGTACTTGATGTACAGTGCTGGTTTGATAAAGTTTGTTCAGTTCTTTGAGATTGTCATGGTGGATTTTTTGTATTTGCTCTAGATGTCTGATTTGGATAACAATAAAAATATTGACTGGCTTTACTTTCGGGGCATATCAGAAATATTGACCACGCTGAGATCATATTGCCCTCGTCTTTCGACTCGGGCAATATGATCTCAGCGTGGTCAATATTTCTGATATACCCCTCGAGGCCAGTCAATATTATATAATTATATCAAGGGTTCAGTGACACAAAGACGTAACTCAATATTTTGCCAAAATGAGTATTTGATATCAAAATGTTCAGAAAAATGTGGGCTTTCCAGGAAACACAAAGACTTAACTCCACCCAGCACCCTATTGAAGTCAATGGCTAGTGAAACATGGACTAAACTCCTTAAGGCCCAAGTGCTCAGTGACACATAAACCACTTTTTCTCAAAATGGAATTATGTCTTTGTGTCACTGACCCCTCGATATTCAACATCTTCATTACTGTATTTTCCCCTTTTCCATCATTCCTGTAAAACCCATTTCCAAGAATCGAGAGAGAGGGAATTGTAGGATGCATCTGAAAGGCAGCCAGGATAGATCATCTCACAGCCCGGAGCCATAAGATAGGATATGTGACATGCTCAATCACATATCATGGGCCTTTTTATCTAATAACAACACAACCCAGTCTGTCTGTCTGTAGTGAATATGATTGTCATTCTGTTGCATGGTCGTGGCTGAAGGCTGTTTATATGTAATGTGAGCACTCTAATATATTGATTGTGATGCGGCATGATGCTTGTCAAGACAGATGGACTTGTATGGGTGTTCTGTTTTATATATACACCATGAACGATGCAATAACGAGGATTACTTAAGTTTGAGAATGCTATTTCTTTCTCCATCTCTATCTCTTTTTCTCCTGTCTCTCTTCACTCTACCATCTTTTCTCTCTTTTTATGTTGTTCACTCCTCCTTTTCTCTCTGACTCTGTCTCTCTGTCTGTCTGTCTCTCTCTCTCTCTCTCTCTCTCTCTCTATATATATATATATCTCTCTCTCTCTCTCTCCCCTCTCTCTTTATCTGTCTCTGTCTCTGCCTCTCTCTTACCTTTTCTCTTTCTCTATCTCTGTTGGCACTCGGATCTATATTTCTTGTCTCTTGTGCTTTCATTTTCTTTGCTTTGCCCTCTCTATCTTTATATGTCTTTATCATATTCATTGTAACTTTCCCACATCCCCTTCTCTCTCTCTCTCTCTCTCTCTCTCTCTCTCTCTCTCTCTCTCTCTCTCTCTCTCTCTCCTCTCTCTCTCTCTCTCTCTCTCTCTCTCTCTCTCTCTCTCTCTCCCTCCTCTTTTTTCCATAGATGTCTAGTACCTCCTCCTTCTTTCCTCTTCCAATTTCAATTAGAGTTCAGTGAAAATAGTACTTCCATCCATTAAGAAGGCTCATATGATATCTTATTAAGATTCTTTTTCTTTTTCATTCTTCAACAGCTTGGTCAAGTGATGATTAACATTGCAAGCAACCTGATGGAGGTCAACTCTACTCTCCTAGCTCAGAGCCAGATACAGGATAGGTCCTGCTCAAAGTAAGTTCACCATTTCTTTTCATGATTTTTGAAAGTTTATTGACAAGAGGCATATGCATGTGGTCTGTAAGGAGAATGTCACTTGGACTGTAAAAAGACCATTTCTAGATTGTAATGTGGCATGTGGACCGAAGCCTGCCCTTGGTTATACATGAATGTACAAAAAATGAAGAATAGAAGGAGAAAACCCTATGCCCTTGGATAAGACATTACATGGAGATCTTGTGCATAGAGTCACACCACAAGTATTTAATCGATGCTCTCTCACAGTGTAAAGTCTTTTGTGTTGGTACACTGATTCCAATCAGTTATATAGAGAGGAGAGGCCGAGTGCCAGGCTCCATGCAACCTTTTTTTTCTTGTCGAAATTTGCAAGGTCTGTATGCATGAAACCCCTTTAAATGTTTTATTTTGGGGGTCAGATGTTAGTGTTGAGTCCTGCTTATAAAAGGACCATATTTGTCTAGTTCACCTTTTCCCCTGTCAGGCAGTCAAAGAAATTGTCATCAACATCTGCTTATTTTGTATTACGTGTTACCATTATTTTTCTCCTTGCATAAATCCCTTTGATGTTTTTAAAGTTCTTTTTTACCACATCCAAAAAAGAAATTTACCTGCAACAATTTCAATGTCTTTAGACTTCTTCCCCAGACGCAAATTGGCAGACTGAATTTAGCCGCCTATTTTTCCGATCGCCAGTGGTCGTTTTTCATAATGAATCCCTTTAAACTTTGCTGTTTCATCTCTGACAGGGTGATAGATGCCTTGGAGTACTTTGCCAGCAACATCCTGCAGCACGGGCATGGCATAGAGATCGAGCACTACGCCCCCAACATCGCGGTACGGGCCATCAAGCTGCCGACCACCAACACCTTCAGCGGGATGCTGTGTGCCGCCATTGTGCCGGGGCCGGGGCAGCTCGAAGACTTCTCCAGGCAGAACGTCAAGTGCCACATGAGTAATATCACCTCGGCTCAGCTAGACGTTACAAAAGGGGTGAGTGCGATGATTGTCTTTGTGCTTTGAGCATTTGAAATGGGGAAAGGGGGTAAAGGTCACACTAAGAATTTTTTTCTTCACAAATAGTTCAATATATAAATGCACATTTCACTTGCATATGAAAGTATGAAATACAGAGTGTAAATTCGAAAATTATGTACATGTTTTCAAGGCTGTAGAACATAAAATGCTAATTTCTCTTTTTTGTTCGACCTGTAAAACAAAATCATGCATAGGTTATGATTTTGACAATTGTTATGGATATGTGAATTTGACAGCGAGTCTGATAGTTATTGAAAAATCATGGATGAATTGTAAGGAAATAAAAACTATTTAATCTACTTGTCCATTTTGCATCCAGCCCATAGAAGCATCCATCCAGCTCCCTCCAACCATCTTCCAAGGCCTGACCCAAGGTCAAAGGTCAGCGGCGGGTCAGACGTCCTCCCGCCCTGGTGTGGTTCTTCAGTTCTTTGTCTACAAGAATGGTAGACTGTTCCCATCTCTGAAGACGACGGCACAGGGGCAGATGGCTATTTCAGAAAGAGCGGTGACATCTATGGTAGTGGCCAGTAAAATTGGTACGTTGAAGTCGAAACTATTTTGTAGTGCTGTGGATTTCATGAGATTTTGATATACAGTCAAAACTGCTTCAGTGACCACCATGTATATAAAGACCACCTGTCTACAAAGACCACATTTTTTTCTCCCTTGAAAGTGGTTTCTCATTGAAACATGTACTAAAGGAACCTGTACATAGAGACCACCTACCTATAAAGACCACTATCTTGTCTCCCTTGGGTGGTCTTTATAGACAGGTTTCACTGTTCATGCAGTTACCAGTGTGTTATCCCATTCCCTACGGAAACCGGGCAGTCTCTGTATGAGGCCAACCAGTGTATGAGAATAAGAGAATCCTGTAGTCAGTGGGATACATGTATTCTTATTTCATCATGCTTATTGTCAATTTCCCTGTGATTTCTGTTTCATGTTCATGAATTTTGAAGTGCCATAAATGACCACAACAGCGATTGAATAATGCACCATCCTTATATATGTCTCTGTCTTCTCTTTTTACCTGCAGAGAATTACAATGTTGTCAATTTGACAGACCCTGTCACGTTGACCTTTCGACCTACGAACCTAGGTCACAGTGAAGCACCGGTGTACTGGGACGTTACTTCCCCAGGTGAGTAGATAAATCAGCAGCGTTAATGAGGCCATCTGCTCTGAAATAACCTGCTATTTTCAGACTCTGGATATTATCCCGAAGCTCGAAATTGCGTCTTTACCAGACCGATACGCTCATCACAAACTAGCTCGGACGGGCGCAAATTAGCCCGCTAATTCCAAAAGAGTGGGATATTTTGAAAACAAGGCCAAGATTTCTCAGGATATTTTCTCGTCCAAACATCCCGCTAATTGCAAACACGGGCTGATGAAGCCAGGCCTTTTAAGATATGACACTGTAAACCACTGCAAACATCACCCTGACTTTAAGCTCCAAGAACACAATTGTCATGCCAGGGCATGAACCCACAACCTCTACATCAAGTGTTCAAACCGCTCAACCATGTTTCCTCTAAACACTGCTTCTTCTCTTCCTCTCTTTACTGTACTTCTGCATCACCAGGAACCCCCTATTTATGTCTTTTTTGTTGTTGCTTGTACTTGATTGTTAGGGCTCATAAGGCATCAAGCTTCGCTCATCTTGGAGCCCTGGTATTTAAAAAAATCTAAAATAAAGTTATATTTCTTGATATATGTTTTAATGTATACTGCTTTTTATTATGTATTCAGAAATGAATAAATTAATGAAATTAAATGAAATATCTGTTGAATTTTTCCCCTTACAGGTTCACATGGGGAATGGAAGTCGGAAGGCTGTAAGATTGTAATGAAGACAGATAACATGACAACAGTACAGTGCAGTCATCTAACTAACTTTGCCATACTCAAGGTAATAACCCTGTAATAATAATCAGCTGAGAATTTATGAAAATGACTAGGTTAGGCTTGAAATCATGACTATCTTTGCTCCATCACTATTCAATATGGATTCCATTTTTAGAATCTTTTAATTTCAATTTTATAGCATATAGGTAATGCCAGACGTACATTGCATTGGTGCTTTTATACTTTGGTTATTACATGTCTCTTGTCATCATATTAGCTTCATTTATTCAAATGTTTGTTCAGACTTATAAAAAACCCAATTAACATGCAGCTTTAAGGGTGATGGATATGGCACTAAATCAGACTCATTTCTTATTCATTTTTTCTTGTGTGCCCCTGAATAGAAGTTCTAGATAGATGGTGCAATACAAATGCCTATTAACAATGTTAATATACATGTCAACCTCCCATGAAATTGACTGATACTTCTAATTCACACCTGCTAATGTATGAAGAGTGCAATATATAATTATGATGAAAAGACAAAAAAAGGTGTTCTATTACACATTTAAACAAACTTGGAATGCCATAAATATTTTATTACAACTGATATGAAATGTGACAATGAACAGTGCAATATATATTTACAACGAAAAAGAAAAAGAGGTTTTCTATTCCATATTTTTTAATCAAACATGAAATTGATTGTGATTTTCACAGGATTTCAGTGAACCACAAGGGCAGTACATCAGTGGTTTCTGGCCGGCCGCTGCTCTTCACCCAGCAATCTACATCGGTAGCTTCATCCTCCTCATCCTCCTCTTCATCACTCTCCTCACCTACGTCTGCTTCCACAGGTCAGTCAAGAAGACTTGTCTTTGATTATTTATTATTATGATAATTAAAAAAATAAAGATGTGAATGAATGAATTTCAATTTCAATTTCAATTTATTGTCCAATATTGGAAATTTGTTTTGCTCACATTTTACAAACGTACAAAGAATCAAGTTTACATACATAATATATATCATATACTTTGACATAGAAATCCTTCAGAATATTGCTATACAGAAGTTTCCTTACGGTATTATAAACTAAATAAGTGAATGAACGAAAATAAATGTGCAAATGCATGAATGAATGAATGCATGCTTCAAATCTATTGTTAAGTCAACTTAGAGTGTTATGTGTAGGAATTCCTGCCTGAGAATTGAAACTGGACACTACTAAAATAATATTTAGGTAAGGCAGTTGCCAACGAAAGGCTTCACACATCATTACCTGTGATTTTGAATCATCGATTAGAGTATATGGTATAAACATCTGTAAATTCTTTTTGATGTACAAGTAGCTTTAAACAATATTTAACACCTCATGTCAGCAAACTAAAGGGAAAATAGTGGGATTGGTTGTGATGGTGATGGGAGGTATCAAGGTTTATATTTTGTATTCAGATATGACTAGGATGTTAAACAGGTGGCATAAAGTTCATTTGTGTGGTTCCAATATCAGTGGGAAGATTGATAATGGATTCCCCTCCCTGGAACACCTATTACATAGACTCAAATTTATATCTGTGTCTGTGGTCCCTGAAAGCCAGGCTCTTATTGGTGGAAACATGCAAATGGAGGTGGAGCCTGTCAATGGTAGCAAATCAGATCACAGTAGAGTACTGACATGAAGCATACAATACTTCATTTTTTAAAACCTACACTATCGTTACCCCTTCAGCAACATCCGGATGAAGCGCAAGTGTCGCCACTCCCTCATCAACATCTGCCTGGCCATCATGTTCCTGGTCGTCTTCTACACCGGCGGCATCAAGTGGACGGAGCCAATCCTCCTCTGTCAGATCGTGGGCATCGGCCTCCACTACTTCAGCATCTGTACCCTCATGTGGATGGTGATACAGGCCAACAACCTCCGCAAGGCCCTCATCAGGCGCAACCGACCCCCTCTTCCACCGGGAGAAAGCCCCCCTCCTCCCAGGCCCATCCTCAGATTCTACTTTGTGGGTTGGGGTGAGTTGTCAAGTCTTCTTTTCTTTAAATCCTCAGCGAAGCTAATTTTAAAGTAGTCACCCGAAGAATCAAAAGTGTTTTGAATTGATGCAAAATTCACATCATTGCAAAGGGGATGCCTTACTGATCAAATATAGCAACTTCCCTCTTCAAAATATGTTTGGGGCCCACAGTTATTATCTCTCAAAAATGTTCATTTGGAGATCCAGATTTTCTGCCTTCAGCAGTCCTCTGTAAAGCGTCAAGATTCGTGACGTCACATGCGAGACCCAGCTAGCCACAAGATTGAAGTTTACGCCTTTCCATGATATCTATATGATTTTTTCGCAAATTATTTATGTTTTTCAAGAGAAAATCTCTCCATCCATTTATAATTTGTCCATAATTATCAGTTGTTGTGAATTTTCTTCGGGTGACTACTTTAAGGTCTCATTAATACTTAACTGGTTGAATAGCACACACTCTGGCATTCTCACATTTTGTAATTCATGGTGTAGAGAGGTTGTGCAACAAATTTGGAATGGAAGTTGAATATTCTGTGTCTGCTACATGTACATATATGTGTAACCATGACAACAGGTAGGCTCAGTACTTAATGTCATGAGACCTGATAATACATAGTATTCTATTCCATGACATTTGAAATTAATTTCAATTTCTTTGTACATCAATCACTACGCTCCTTTGCCAGTCAAACTTCAAATTCTGATACCAAGCCTGATCTTCAATCTTTACTAGAAAATCACCTTCAGTCACAAAAAAAAAACCTTTTCAAAGATGAGAGATATTGTCAAACCTCTCTATTAAGGCCACCAAAGGGAAACACCAAAGGTCGTCACTGTAGACAGGTGGCCTTTATGGACAGGTTCTTCAACACATGTTTTCTTCTAGAAGGAGGCAATACAGGCGACCGCTATAGACATGTGGTCTTTATATAGAGGTGGTCACTAAGACAGGTTTGCCTGTACATGTATTTTTTAATAGCTGGTTTAAAACTGAAATTTGATTTTGTTTCATGTTTGACAGGTATTCCTATGATTGTAGTGGGCATTACGGCAGCAGCATCTCCGGACATTGGCAACTATGGAGGCTCAGAATTGTAAGTAAATGATAAATGCCTCAACCTAGGGGATATTCAAGAAGAAAAACTGTAATAGTGACAGTGTATATCAATAGCGACTGGAAACACCGACTTTAATTCAAGATGCTATGCAGAGAAAAGCATGAATATAATCATACTCCCAGGGAATTAAAAGCATAGGATAGAATTCTTTAGGTGTAAGAATAATTAAAAATACATGGAGAATAAAATAATCTTTTGTTGAGCAAAAACGGTATTTAATGTCATTGTATATGATTTGATATTTAAAATGAGTGAAGGACACTCGTAAAGCTAATAGTAATCTCACTTTACCCTTGGACTGGTCGACATCAGAAATTTGAATCTTTATTGTTTGATAGTTGGTGGATTTTGGTTGCCTTAGACTAACTGGACACTGAGTTAATTGTTCTCTGCGATTGTACTGACATCTTTCTTCCTTTTCATCATTCAGTTGCTGGATTGTGGACTTCACAGTTAGCCTGGCTGCCTTCTTTGGCATAGCAGCAGCCATGGTAGTCCTGACGTGTGCCATGTTTATCTGGGCTTCCATGCACGTCAACAGGGCGCCCTCTATGGCCCAGCTGCAGGCCTACGAGCTACGAGACCAGAACCCCGATCATAAGGACGTACCGAACCACCGGGGAGAGAATGGGATTGAGAGACAGACTGGAACAGACAACGAATCCGTCGTTACGCATCGTACCGGAATCTCGGGAATGTCCAGCGTGATGGACTCGGAGTATACGTTCGCCAAGCAGATTACGGCTGCTGTGCTGATGCTGTTGGGATTCGTTGGGACATGGACGTTCGGTGCTTTAGCGGTCACCCAAGAAGACTTTCTCGTCATCGTGTTTTGCTACCTGTATGCAGGTACTGCAGTAGGACTTGGCCTATTCATCTTTGTGTACAACTGCGGAATGCGCATCGACGTCAAATACAACTGGAAGAAGACATGCGGTTGCACCCAAAAGGATCGGTATACGGTTGCAGTGACGTCCAACCAAACCAACCCGAGTGTCAATAACGGCCATGTGGTACAGAGGAGACAATCGGCAAGCAGTGTTGATTCTAATAATACAAACAAGTCTAATAATACCAATCACTCGTATCCTTCGGTGGTATCAGGATCGCGAAAGACCTCAAAGTGTAATTACGTGCCGTCCCAAACAAACACAGGCACCGATGCCTCGATTGACAGTAGCACGCAGGACAATGCAGGGCGCGTACATAACTATGACAAAAATCATCGTAGTAACGGTTATGCCCAGCGCTACCACAAGCAAGCGCGCAGCCGTAGTAAGAATCACAAACATTCTCGGTACTCGCAGGTCTCGCGGGACGGCCAAGAGGTGATGGCCGTTCCACCTCCGATGGTGCCCATGATACCCAATGGGGCGGGGCGGACGGGCAGCTCCTCCAGTTTCCCCATCGCCCACATGCATCATGTTGACCCCAACCATCAAAGCCCTGCAAGTAGCAACTCGTACCTACCTCAGCATGTGCTCTACATGGGAAGCCAGCCGCGCATGGTGCCCCTCCCTCAAGAACTCCACAGTAGCCATTCAGGCCATTTAGGGTTGTACCCCCAGCCTGAGGCTCTGTGCACCACGCAATCCTGGGACGCGCTCCGGGAGAACTCTCTCCCTCGTAGCACCGCATCCAGCGAGCGTTTCGTAAGAAACAGAGACAGAACAGGGTTTGTGCAGCAGCCGGTCCAGCAACATTTCATAGACTGTCCACACGAGGGCAGCATGCCGCGGGCCATGTCGGGCAAGAAGCAGTCGCGAGAAGAACTGCGTAAAGGCTCCGCCTCAAAGAACTCCTCTCGGGATCATCTTCCGCGACACGAGGACATCGCAGAGTATCCCACGGCGGAGATGAATCCTCTTTTACAAAGAACTCAGCGACCGAGTGTTTGCAAACCCCCAACATATGAAGAGGTGGCTGTGCTCCCTGAAAGCCAGGCTCTGATTGGTGGAAACATGCAAAGGGAGGTGGAGCCTGTCAATGGTAGCGAATCAGATCACAGTAGAGTACTGACATCAAAAGAATACCAGATGTCACAGAATGGTCTTAGTGGAGACAAGAGAGAAACAAGTGTTTAAATCTAGTGTTTCAAATCATGTTGTATTCATTGTATTCTGTACATGTATGTCTGAAAATGTTTGCTAGAGTGCATGCCTAACTTGAGTCTAAAGTATTCATGTTTTATTTAATAGTACTGACTTGCAATGTATGTATTCACCTTATACTTTGGCTGAATTGATGTTAGCAGGTCATAAGAACCTGTGACTTTTTTTAGTTTCTAAGCTCAACACTATGACCCCATCACACGGTCAGACTGATAGATCAAATAATTACGTTACACCAATCAGTTTGAAATCAGTTTGGAAATCATGTAGAGTCACTTTGGGAGTACGATTGAGATATAAGTCTAATAATGATCAGGTGCCCGTTTCATAAAACTCGTTATCTATAACAACCGCTAAATTTCTATGACAAATTTGCTCTTAGCCAATCAGATGCCATGATTTCAGTAGCTTATAACAGTAGCTTGTAACTTGTTAATGGTATCAAGTTTTATGAAACAGGACCCAGTACCAAGACTTTGGTATCGTTTCACAAAACTATCATAAGTACAAGTTGGCGACCAACCCATTGAAGCCTGTGATTATTCTAATACACATGTTTCAATGGGACATCGGTGAAATTGGATTATGACTGTTTCGTGAACTGCTGCCTTGGTCTCTTCTAACGAGCATTTGTTTGTATCTATCTTGATGCTGATGGCATACCGGAATTTTTTTTTTCTCTTTATATGTATTTCTAAAGTATGATCATGTAAAATGTAATTTGCAAGGCCACAATTGAGCATGCATTTATAATTGTTTCTTGTGAAGAACGTCCTTCTTATATATTTTTTTTAATGCTAATTCTGTTTGTCCTTCTTATTCACACAGCAGGCTTTATATATGACATGTTATATTAGAGCCGAAGATTAAAACTAAAAAAAATACATCATTTTTTTCTCCATGAGCTCATTTTCAGTCAGAACCGCTAAAGATGTGGCATGACAAACACTACCTTGTGTATTCATAACGTATTCACAGTTTTCAGTGTTTTTAGAGTTGTGAAATAGAGTGGAGAGTCTAAACTGCACATTTTTAAATCTTTTTTTTTTCTTCTTCAATTTGCAGTGCAATGCTTTTTAAAAAACCTTTTTTTGTAAAGAACGGACCATTTTGTCTTAATCATGAAAGTCCAAACCAATCTAGTACTAAATCATGTATAAATATGTAAGTGTAACTTCAAGATCAGTTTCTTGATATGTATACTGTATGCCTGAATGTATTTATGAAGAAAAAGTTTATATAGTACATTACGCAAGCAGCACTCAGCGACTGGAGAACCAAATAGTCTACAGGGGGCCAAATTGTCTCGCTGACTTGTTGCTTGAAATTATATTTAAAGAAAAAAAGGTACTTGATTTATCTTATGTATACCTTGAAGGGGATATGATTTTTAGAATGTACGATGCAAGTAGCTGCTGATCATGTAGTAGATTTACTGAAGGTACTACGCCCTATGCTCTGGTGTCAAATGCTAGGCGGCAAACATGAACTAACCGATTCCCAACTTCGACCCTGGACCAAACACTTTACCTAGCCCTAGCCTAACCCTAACCCTAAACCTAACCCGAAACCCACTTTCAACCTTTATCCTAACCCTATACTTATGAGGTAATAAAGCTTGTAGCTATTGTCACCGGAGCATATGTTGGATTACCACCTTATAGCCCCTAAGATCATGACTTGTGAAAAAAGGAAATTTTTCTTAAATCACTGATAAATGAAAATTATTGCTCACTGTTTGTTATGCTTAACTAATCTTTAAGTCATAGAGAAAGAGTCAAAGAATATTGCTAACTTTTCCAAGGACAAATTGGTCCTATTTTTTTTTCTCGCCCCATCTTATAAAATAGTTGCAATTGATTCAAGTAGTGATACCAATCACTACTAAAAGATACTTCAGTTTGTAAGTTTGCGACCAACAAGGATCAATTGCGATAGTTTATAAGACAGGGGGAATTGTGCTTTAAGATATAGATTATCATTTTAGCATAAATGTGCTAGCACCAAACAGCTTTTAGTTGCTGGACTGAAATACCATGGGGTATGAATGATGTCCACTAGATTGATTCATTGTAGCTGAAACGGTAGAAAGTATTCAATTTTATATTCTAAAGATGTTCACAAGTTTCGTTCACCTTTGTAGTTGAAGAAGTTGTGAACAATTTTGCCATATGTGAACACCTCGGACATCCAGTTCTCATATGTAAGCGTCAATGTTTGAAAGAAAGTAGGGCCGTATTCTGAAAACGATGTTATCTTTTATGTTAAGAAAAACAATATTGTTTGTCATAACAAACTTGAATTGCGCGGAACTAACACTTAAAATTGGTGCTTGCTCAGATGTCTCTTAACTTTATGTGAACGCAACCAGCTTTGCATCAACTTGAATCATTGACACGTCCTAATCCTGATTTGTTGTGACAATTAACATCGTTTTACTAACATAAAAGACACCATCATTGTCAGAATACCACCCTAGAACCGTAGCAGCCAAGCAAAAAAATTCCCACCATTGCAGTATTCCAGCATTGTCATTATCGTGGCAGCCCGATGTGTTTTTGTGTATTCTGTTGTGTCCACGCACAAATCAAGATTTTTCTATTTGAAAATGCATTTTGAGTACTACTCGGTACTGCAAAATGACACCATGTACAGTGCATACGCGTCAAATGTACATATTGAAATTGTAGACTAGTTGAAGGTAGGTGTTGTCGGTCATGGATGTAGTTCATTTTATGGGGAGATGTGCCAGCATGCTGTGAGTAAAAACTCACTGTTTTGTTGAAGGAGCATAACTCAAAATTTCTTGGGACATTGAATGATAATATTACTGTTTGTTATTGATGCAAAGAGTGAAGAGAAGGAGGGACATAGACAGAAAGTGAGAGAAAGAGAGATAAAAGAAGAGGTGATGAAATAGAGGAAGATAGAGAGAGAGAGGAGAAGGGAGGGAGGGGAGAGGGGGAGGAGAGAGAGAGAGGGAGAGATAGAGAGAGAGGGGGAGAGGGAGAGAGAGAGAGAGAGAGAGAGAAAAAGATAGAGGGGGGGGGGGAGAAAAGTACATGTGGATTTACAGACAGAAAGAAGGAGAGAACTAGCTAAAAATGTCATTTAGCAAATCAAAATATCATACGTGCTAGTGTTCTGTTATTTTAGAGTTGAAATCATGGATTTAAAAAAATCTCCTACCGGTATTCTCTTTTTTTCATATCGGTTTACACTATCAAGTCATGAAATCAGGAGTATAATAACTGGTTGGGATCATGCTTTTAATGTATTTTTTAAAATAATTTTTGTAATAATTATTATAGATCCATTTTTTCTATAGGGAATGTACTATAGCAGGACGTTTTTATCAGATTCTACTTGCCATGATGTAGATCAAATTTCAAAGCTGGTTTTGTCTTTCATTTTGTTTTAACAGGAATTAAAGTGACTGTTATTAGGTATTCAACCTGCCCAGTTTATTGTATTTTCAAACTTCAACGTGTACCGGTAGTTACTTTTCAACAGAGGAATGTTCCGAGAATCTTGTTACATGAGAATGCAATTGCATTTGGAACTTAATTGTCATTAGATTTGTTTTCTGATCTTTGTGACTTTGAAGATTAGATTTCTGATATTGGGTAATCATTTTAATGGCGGTATTACACTCTAAAGTAATACAATTTATTTCATTTTTTGTACCTGTTTAGCTATCATATGTATTTCCATAGAACGCTCTGTTGGAGTCTACTAGAAAAGTCTAAGAAACTTCTTGAAAATCATCAGTACATCAGGGTCCTGTCTTACAAAGAGTTGCGATTGATCCAAATCAATCGCAAGTTTGCAAACTCCAATCTCTTATGTACACAGTTGCAATTCATATCAACTCTTTGTAAGACAGGGCCCGGGAGTGTGTATTCTATTCCCCCTGTTCAAAGATTTTGACTGTTAGAGAGAGATATGAGCAGGAATGGTTTAGTTTTATCCTGTTGTTGTTTCACCTGAACCCTTGTGTTTGTTTGGAATTATCCTCTTTCCAATCTATCTACAACTCATGTAGCTTACAATGCAAATCTTGTACGTTCTAGTTCGGTTTGTAACTTGTCGTGTTGTAGCTCTGTAAACATGTCCTATGTTCTAATACAAAGAAAATGTCATAAATGCAGTATTGCATTTTATTTTACACAATGTTGTGTCAATGATTATAATTTCTTTCCAAACGATGAAAATTTCATAAATGCAGTATTGCATTTTATTTCACACAATGTTGATTTCATAATTATAATTTCTTTCCAAATGATTATTTAAACCATCACGTTTATTTTGTACTATTAATTTCAAATTCTTACAATTGTGATCAGTGGTATGAAATTATATTGTAAATGACACCTTATTTTGTTACACAGTAACCCAGAAATCATGTTATATGATTATGTAGCGGATATTTTATAGATACTATTGAATAAAATGGAAAGTTTCGGGTTTAAGGTCATTCTTTCAATGTGACGAAAATTATCGGCAGTTTTGCCACCCCCATAGTACTTTACAACATGCACTAAAAAAACAGAGAAATTAATACTACAGGATATCTTCTGTCAACACTACGATTTATCTTTTCTTGAAACTTTCCATTAACGTTTTTGCAAGCAGTACAACTTTCAAGTACTTTCTTTCTTACTGAATGTTGACTAGTACTTTCATTAGATACAGGAATTGACAAGCCCATCGCGTGCAGAAGTTATACATCAAGTCTTTTTTAGATGTATTATGTTCCTATTTTTGGGCAGTTTTGTAATACTACTTCAACATAATCACTGTCTGTAGCTGTGTTTGTATTTGTATATTTTTACAACCTGGCTACATGTTGTTAATTCTCCACGTAGTCCTATTCTCTTGCATTGTATTCTTTACTAAATTCCTAGATGTTGAGCTAAGGCTCGTCTGTATTTGGTAACAGCGAAAAAGTATTGTATTCTTTTGTATTTTAAATTATCTTTGTTATATTTATGCATTCTGTTTATATGTAAAAAGAGTGTACATATTACTATGTTGTACATTAAACATGAAGAAACAGAACCAAGCAATTATGGATTCCATGGGTTATGTTTTATTTTGTCGACCACTGAGATGTTTCATAGAGAGTTTTAGTGTACCGATCATTTAGAGCCATTGTGTGATGAGAGAGTATTTTTGTTGGTGTGAGTGTCGAGTTATGACAATCTTCCCACAAACTGTCTCGTTTTTAAGAGTAGTACAGGGACCCTTTTCACAAAGCTTTTTGTCGATGACAAATGACAAAAATCAGTGACAAATCTGCTGATACCCAATTAGAAGCAAGTGTCATGATAATGAATATGTATCAGATTATGCAAATGTGACACCTGTGACCTCAGGAGGTCAGATCGCATGTGCGCGATGTATATGCGATACGCGT